CCCAAGGCAGTAGAGGCAGCGGGAGCCCCGGCCCTTTAAATAACCCCCAGAGCCCTGCCGCCGCTACCCCAGGGCTCCAGCAGTGGGGCTCTGGCAGCAATTGAAAGGACCTGGGGCTCCAGACGCTGCTGGGAGCCCCAGGCCCTTTAATTGCCGCCTGGGGAAACCGGGCTGCCCCGGTACGGCGCACTGGCTTACTTTCACCTCTGCTCTGCCTGCAACAAATAGGGAGCAGGGAGTGGGTTGTGGCTCTTTGAGCTGTTTCCTTTCCAGGGTGGGGCTGCAATGTGCTACCCCTTGTTGTGCAGTATGGTCGGGAGCTGTGATCTAGCCCTTTGTAAGGTATTCGTACAACTGTGAAGAGAGAGTTTTGTTTTGTATTTTTCAATAAAGATTCTAAGGGCCTTGATCTTGCAGTGGGAACATCAAGCACAGACCAGTAAGCCTGTGCTGAACCCCACTGGCGTTAATGGGCTCCACACGGCTGCAGGGGGCTGTGCTAGTGGATGCAATCGCAGGATCAGGGATTAAATCAGAACAGTAATCGCTGCTAGTTCTTGGGGGCCTAGTTAAATGGTGCCCCCCAACTGGGGCACATGCTTTGTGTTGAATGTCCTGTGCTGTCGATGTCCACTGGAGACACAGAAGAACACTGCACACAACATCATTTTTAAAAAGTGCCAGGAAAGGCACTTTGGCTAATGAGTATAGACTCAGACATGTCAATGAGGGGATCCAGACCTGTGCATTTTTCAAAGGGTGATGATAAGGGGGCTATTTGGAAAGCTGTCCATCTGCCCTGACCTATAAATATGCATGACCAATTATCCTTGGAACAAGGCATTGCTGGCAGATGTTGTGTTTCTCGAAATACTTGAAGTTTGGCAGCAGATAGCTGAAGGATGCCTGCAAGGCCCAAACTCTTTGTCATGCTTCTTAGATGGATGCAATTAGCATATACGTGAATTCTCTGCAGTGATTTACAGACTGCACTAAATAAACTGAGTTACATTCCTGCTAACTAAACCCCCAAAATGACTACATTGCCCCACCCTCCATAACATGGCAGTCTCACATTTATATCACTAAATCAGCGGTTCTCAAACGGGGTTGGGACCCCAAAGTGGGTCTCGACTCCCTTTGAATGGGTCACCAGGGCTGGCTTACGTTTACTGGGGCTCAGGGCTCTAGCCTGAGGACCGCTGCCCAGGGCCGAAACTAAAGCCCGAGGGCTTCAGCCCTAGGCAACAAGGCTCAGGTTGCAGGCCCCCTGCCTGGGGCTGAAGCCCTTGAGCTTCAGCTTTGCCCCCCTGCCCATAGCGGTGAGGCTCAGGCTTTGGCTCCCCCACCCAGGGTAGTGGGACTCAGGCAGGCTCAGGCTTTGGTCTCCCCTCCTGGGGTCATGAAGTAATTTTTGTTGTCAGAAAGGGGTCACAGTGCAGTTAAGTTTGAGAACTCCTGCACTAAATCAATCCCTCAGGCCAGAAGCTTGGTGTAGGGAAGCCTTCCCGGGCAATCCAGGGAGCAAGAGCTGCCATTCTAACAATCGCCTGGGAAAAGCAAACATTTCTAGGTGCTCATTCCAAATGGGAACCTCTGGACTGAGGCTGATGTTCAGGGGAGTGCTTTACACATGACTGTCCCCATGGCAAATGCACACTGTTGCTGTGTGAGCAGAGAGGCACAGTGGTGGGATCCCAGCACTCAAGGGATGGCAAAGTGCCCTCACCCTCTGCATGAAACTCCGGGAGGCAGCACCCATGCACACCATTGGGGTTCAACCCCGGCAGGCCAGCCCAGTGTCTGTCCAGCTCCTGACACTCGTTATGACCCCAGTGTGAGTGTCCCCAAATAAGGCAGGAGACCCTAGCTGAGGGTAGCATGTTTAAACATAGATCTTCAGCTTCAAACTCCCAGGTTATCCAGAGAAATGCAAACAATTCATTTTGCATGATGGATCATGTCAGTATTGCTTATGAACCCACAGCACAGGGTTTTCGATGAGAGGGCCGCTTCCATTGAAAGGGAAGAAATTTCATTTCGATGTTGGCATGTTTATCGTTTGGAAGCTGCCAGCTACTAATCTAGGCTTATTAGAAGGAGCACCTGGCCTTGATGCAATCCTATCATGTGCCATGAATTGCATGCTGGTTCTCATTTTGAAATGGTCTCTCTGTGAGGTTATCATCCCTAAATCTGGGTCCTGAGAAATTCTACCTGCTGTTTTTATATTAAAATTAGAGTGATGCCTTATGTTTGACTTGCAAAATTCTTCCCCACACATCTTGAAGGTTTTCTATCTGTCCATCAGTCTGTTCTCTGGCTTTGTCTGCCATGCTCACCCCCCATGGTATCTGAGCACCAAGAATGTCTCTGCATCCCAAAGCCCTATCCTCCATGAGAGCTGAAATGGCCTCATAACCTAGCCCCATGGCTCAGTTTGCCCCCTGGGCTCTGGGGCCTGTACTAGATGTCCTTCTTTTACTCCAGAACCTTGCAGGCATCATAGCAGGAATGGCTAGAGGTATGGCAGCAGTTTTGTATTCAGGTATAAGAATTCTAGGATAGAGCTTCAGCTGGGGTATATCAGCATCACTCAGTTGACTTCAATGGAGCTATGTTGATCTACACCAACTGAGGATCTGGCCTAGAATTTCTGCCAGTTGTGGGTTTCAATCCACTAAAGTAACCAGGCCAGAATGTGCATAGCTGTGCAACTTTCATTTGTGTGCCTGCTTAGCAGCTCTGTTCTTTCTCCAGACATTCCTGGGAGAATGAAGACATGCCATTGTGCATTTTGATAGCACCGTTCACCTAAGGATCTTTGAATGCTCTACAAACCCAAGTTAAACTTCCCAATACCAGTGTAATGTAGGGATGCAGGGAACTCCCCACTCAGAACCTCAAACATTTTGTATTCTCTTTAATGGTTCCTTGTCTATACAAATCTAATTTGTACTGCCTGGGAAATAAACTTGCATGCATCAGTGCTGAATAGTCAGCACACAACAGATGCATACAACAGTTAATATCAAATTCTCCGTGTTTACCTACAGGTCAACAGCGGAGTCACTGGGCTATTGAACGCGCTGTGAAATACTGCTAGCTCTGTACTAGTGCAGGGTGCATACTGCGTTCTGTGGTGACACTCCTCAGCTTTGGCTGAGCTGGCTGGGCCAGTCTATATTAAACCTGATATTCTAAGAGTTGACAAGACTGTGGGGGACTAAAAGACATGTCCCTTTGTGCCCATTCATCCCTCTCACACACAGCCAGATACTGCAATCACACCCTAGTGTCACAGCCATCTGGCCCCATCGGGCTGGACTCTGCACGCTGCCATGCCAGCTGGGCACTGCAGGGACCTAACCTGATACACCAGAGCAGAGTGGAAAGGCAGGACCATTGGCTTGGCACAAATGCCCTGGTGAATGAGAGCAGGATCAGGCCCAGCAGGGCAGCACAGACACCCTGGGCAAGTGAGAGTGGGATCATGCCCAGCACCAGGGTAGCACAGGCAAACGAGAGCAGGATCAGACCCAGCAGGGCCCCAAGGATGCCCCGAGTGAGCAAGAGCGGGATCAGGCCCAGCGGGGCCCCATGTATGTCCCAGGTGAGCAAAAGTGGGATCAGACCCAGCCAGGCTGCATGGACACCTTGGGCAAGTGAGAGCAGGCTCAGGCCCAGGCCAGCAGGGCCACATGGACGCTCCAAGCAAGCGGGAGCGGAATCAGACTCAGTGGGGTCCCACTTTCCTCCTGGATGAGCAAGAGCAGGATAGGGCCTAATGGGGCTGCACAGACCCCCCCAGGCGAGTGCAGAAGTGTCAAGTGGCACTCCGTGGGTGTGAGACTCACACCTTAGCACGCTGTCTCACTCACACACATTCCTAAGCTTGTCTCACTCGTTTGGAGTAAACAGATAAAGATTTAAAATCGTTTTACTCAGGCACTGCGAAAGACAACAATACACCGGGCCTTAGAGCTGGGAAAGCTGCTTTCCAAGCTTGTGTTCAGTGGTAACCATGGCGATGATCGGCCCTGGGCCGCAGGGTTCCCACCTGGCCCGGATTGGACCGGCCTGGCCGCTTCATTTAGGGATTTGCCACTTGCCCCCGCCCCCCAAACCAACAATTTAATCTGCTGGGTTTTTACGTGGGTCTAAAGATTTGCATTATTCTCCCACTACAGTGGGATGGCGACTGGCGGGAGTGTGTGTGTCCAGCTGGGGACGCTGCAGTGTTCCCGCTTCCGCAGCCTGAGCCACAACAGGCCAGAACTGCTGCAAACACAGCAGCTATCTGCCCCCCTCCCCCCCCCCCCGCCAGCGCGGGCCGGGAGATGATGTTATCAACCGTGTCTGCCGGGGGGGGGGGATTGCGGGCAGGACCCCCGGGGAGCGAGCCCGAGCGGGACCCAAGGGAGCGAGCCCGGCCCGAGCAGGACCGCCAGGGGAGCGAGCCCAGGCGGGGCGGGACCCAGGGGAGCGAGCCCGGGCGGGGCTGCGGGCAGGACCCCCAGGGGAGCG